TGCTGCCGCCTTGGGCCCGCCGCATCCCCCCCCTCAGCGCCACCAGCCCCGCCGCCGCCGCCCGCGCTCCGGCCACCGCCGACGACGACGATGATCGCGACGCCATCTTGGGGGCACGCTACGCAAACGGCGTAAAGCCGACTGAGGGGGGGAGGGGTGGGGTCGGGGTGCTGCCCCCTGCCGCCCCTTTGGAACGGCCGCGGCGTGGAGCGGCGCCGAGAATCGCGGCGGGGGGCTCCGGGCGCAGTTGGCGGCCGGCTCCTCCGGCGGTGGGCGGTTACGCCAACTGCGCAGGCAGGGGGAGCCGGGTGGCACATGGCTGACGCAAAGCGCCTAACCCGGCGAGGCGGGAGGTTGCTACGCTGGTAGCGTAGGGAGGAGGCGGTTGCCGGGTGGAGGCGACGCGCGCCCCGCCGGGGCTTTGTCAGTGCGGCCCCGGCCGCGGCCCGAGCCCGAGAGCCTCCTGCCACGGCCCCGGCAGCGCTGCTGCTACAGACCGGCTGGAGGCCCCCCATCCGCCTGCTGCTTCTGGCAGGGCAGGAGCTAAATGCTCCTGGCTGCCGCAGTTTTGCTCCTTGTTCCCCACCTGTGCTCCCCCGAGCCAGAAGCAGAGAGGGGCCAAGAGGGAACCTGCGTGTGGACACAGATAAGATCCATAATCGTCCACACTGCTATGGGTTTTTCAACCCTCAAAACAGAGCAAGGAGGACGTGTTGGTGGAGATGGGCAGCAGGCGCTCCCTTAGCTTGGGCTTCCCAAAATTTTCCTCAGTGTAACCCCATTTCCTGAGCATAACCCCCCGCTCCTGGCCCTGCAACCCCATCTGCTGATGTTGCAACCGTGTGCGGGGTCCCGATGCCCAGTTTGGGATCTGCTGCCCTTCATCAATGGCGGAGGGAAAAACAAGACGGATCCAACCCAGCTCACTATTTCGGCATCCGCTCTCTGCCCCTTTTGAGACACAGGCCGAGTTGTTGCCCGCAGACTCCGAGACAATGCCTGCAGGGAAACGCTAGAAATCACCTGTAGAAAGGGAGGCCGCAAGCCAGGCAAGAAGCGAATGCTTGGGACAACTAAAAGGCCTAACAGGGATGGGAGGGATGGTCAGAGGTTTAAAACTAGCATGCCAAGGGATGACAGCAAGCAGAGCATGCCCAACAATGCCCACTAGCCCTCCCAACAAGTCCAAGGAGCAGGACAAGATGGACCTCTGGTTTGCTGCAGTCCCTGGCAATTCTTATGTTCTTATTTCATAGATGTTCTAGGCAGGAAGACAACTGGGGTCAAGTGACCCCAGCAAGGTGACTGTCCAGTCTCCTCTTGAAAGCCTCCAGGGTAGGTGATTGCACCACCTCTGGAGGGAGTTTATTCCATAGGCTGGTCACCCTGACTGTGAAGGAGTTTTTCCTGGTATTAAGCCTGAAGCAGCTTTCCTGGAGTTTCTATCCAACTTTTATTGAAGAGACTAAATAGCAAAGGTCCAATTTTCAAATACAGCGGCTAGCTGAGAGCCCCAAGCTGGTGCTTCTTCACAACCATTGACTACAGTAAGTGCAATAGTCTCAGCTTTTGTATACAGGAAGCCTCTAATTTTTAACCTCCCTTACACCTCCATGTAACGTTCTGGGAGAAGCCAGCATTGAAATGAACAGGCATATATATTAAGGTATTGCAGCCACACACACAGGTAGTCCAAGTTGCCTCAGCTCACTGCGCATCAGCAATTACAGGAAGCAATAGAAGCGCGTCTAAGTGAGTTCAGGTCATGATTTGATGAAACAGGATGGACCTTTCCAAGCTGACCAGCAATAATAAAACATAACAGTTACGTTATACGTGATGCCATGCAAGAGCAACAGTGGGGAACCCCAGAACTGACAAGCCTATAGACCCAAGCAGCTGCTTACTGGCATATAACTGCAAAAAGTCTTAAAATGCTTTCCACAGCAATCCAGCCTATAGTGCTTGATTTCAGCTAGCTGATCTGGACCAAATGGCAAGCGATCACGGTGGTAGTCACCTGGTCACGTGAAAAAACAGATAGGGCTGTTGTTTTCTCTGCCAGCTTGTGTTCCTACAGTTTATATCTTATGTCCTAGTTCACTCTACATCTGTAGTCAGACTATTAAAGAGCAAACAAAGCAATCTTTCTTTTTCCTTGCTTACTCATCCCATCTGTGAGCAATGTTTGTAGGCTGCCTGCAAAGTGGTGACTAGTGGAGGTGCCATTTTCTTCCTTAACCCTTTGGGTTGCATCCATTCAGAAAGGGCTCCACCATCTTCTCTCAGGTGGAACAGAAGCATCAGTTGGCAGTGATGCAATGTCAGAGTAGTCCAGAAGGATTACACTTAATGTCTGTCTCACTATCCAGCTATCATGGAAATCACCTACTTCAGTCCTGCATTCCAGATTTGACAGTACTTCTCTTTCAAGTAGCAGAGCATGAGACAAGCACTAGTTTAAAATTAAAAACGACACACCTCTTTACCCAACTAAGAATGTCAGCATTTCCTTCCAAAAGTGCTAGTGTTCTTCCCCTACAAAAGACCATCTATACTTGCACATATGAATGGTTTCAGGTTCTTTGCCTCTTACTTCAATGCATAAACAACCTCTGCTGAATTTCCATTAAGATTCATCCTTTCAATACTAGGCTGTGATTAACTATCGTGTGCTTAACTGGTCAGGGCAATTTGAAACTCGGGTTGGTTGCCTTTAAGTCAGGTTGGTTATGACTGAGGACAACTCAAGCCAATGTGAAGCAATTTGCAATACACAGCTCCATCTCTGCCAAAGCAATTCACAACTGTAGATGCACAAAGACCACTGTATAACACATTTGGACAACAGTTAGAGGGGGGCAGAGGCTACTATTAGAGACCTAACAGGTCCCTTGAGCTGGAAGCTCAAAAGGGTGTCCCCACCTCTCAAATTGCTGAGTTCCATTGTGATTTGTGATAACCCCAAAGGCCTGAACTGGCTTGATCCCCATTTCATTCCAGCCACTGACCCATGATCAAATAACTGACAGTTGTTTAACAACTATCAAATTAAACGCCTTAGGCCCAAGATAGGCTTATGCTAGTTAGTAGGAGAAGAGGTAGCTGACAACATGCCAATCCAGAGTTAAGATTTCTCATGCAAAAGTACCGAATATTCCGTTTATTTCTGTACTTTATTTCTGATCAGCCTCGATTTAGTTAACCTAAAATTGTTCGTGTGTGCTGGGATTTTTCACAGAGGGAAATTTAGCAACACAGGTCAAGGTTTCCAGTTAGAATTCCTTGAAAAAGGTCCAACAACAGTTCAAGGCAGAATATGTAGCTAACAAGACGACAAACACTTTCTCTGAAAATGTAGGAGTGCATCTGTTGCTGAGGTTGCATTCTACTGAAGTTAAATTCCAGAATCTCAATTTCAACGGGGGGGGGGGGGGGGGGGGGGGGGG